ATGTTGTTATATGTAAATCATTATTAATTTAAAGCTACAACTTTGGAACAATTTGAACAAAATACTTAAACTGTTAATTTAAATATAACATTATACTGTCAACTTAAATATAAATTTCAGTTCCACTTAAAAATCACAATGAATAATTTATGAATAGTTAAAAGTGATAAATTCTAGTGCTAAATGCAAAAAATAAATTAAAATATCAATTTAACTAAAATATGTCCTAAAGATATTTGTATGATTGTTAAAAGTTTTCAAATAAGTAGCTTAAAAATAACTTACAATAACAATAGTTAAAAATTAAACATTAAGAAAATAAAAACGTTATATTATATTTAATTTTATTCATGAGTAACACGCGGGTAGAAATCATTCAAACGGTTGAGATTATACAGTTATAATAGATGTATGTATTATCATATAATTCAAAATAATCAATATATTATATCAATTTAGTATATGAATTATTATATCAAATTTAACAACAACGTGATTGTTATATTTAAAAAATATATTTGTAAATATTTCAACTATATAGGTGTTTCTGCGCAACGTGTGGGCATCCACCTAGTGTATATATATATATATATATATATGTGTGTGTGTGTGTGTGTGTGTGTGTTAGACTATATTAATTTTGTGAGACCTTGAGACTAAATCTAAAAATAATTTTAAAATGCAAAATAAAAAAAAATCCAAAAAATTCTTTTTTTATTTATTATTTTCGGAACTTTAATTACCTAAAAAAATAAAATAAAAAAAATAAATTACCGTTTTTTTTGAAAAATATGCGAAAAAAAAGTGTTAGAATATTATACTAGATTTCTCAAATATATAGAATATTCTATTTATTCTATTAGAATATTATACTAGATTTCTCAAATATATAGAATATTCTATTTATTCTATTAGAATATGTAAAAAAAATTGTTTTTATTTATATATATTTTTTCGTATTTTTTTGGAAAATACAAATTCCGAAAATAATATTGGAAAAAAAATTCGAAAATTTTCAATTGTTTTGCATTTTAAAAATGTTTTTTTTGTTTTATCTACTAAATGAATGGCTAGGATTACGTCTCACGGTCTCACAAAATTAGGTCGTCTCACATGAACCTAACCATATATATATATATATATATATATATATATATATATATATATATATATATATACTAGCATTTTACCCACACCAAGCGACGGGTGAGCTTAGTTTTTCCAGATTTTAGAGTCTATAGGCGATTAGTTCGGAGAATAATGATTAGTTTCAATTCATTGATTAATTAGTTTTAGGAAACACGTCATATTAAAAATAAGACACAATCTATTTTGATGAACTATGTATTAGGGTTTAGTGTGTTAGGGAAGGTAGGTGATGCAACATATAAAATTTGTTGTTTTGATTTATAATTGAAATATGTAGTTGTTTTTGATTAATTACAAAAGTTGGTTGACCAAAATAGTTTTTATTTTTACAAAGAAAAAAAAATCCTAAAATTCAAAAAATGCCAAATATTTCATTATTTGTTTGTTAGGAGGCCACAAAATACGAAGAAAATAACATTAATGTTCATCTTAAAATTTTCAAATGAAAATCTTTACAAATTATGCTTCTTAACAATTTCTAAGAGGAAAATCCTTTCAAAATAAATAGTGCTTGTATAATAACATGTGTACATATGCACTATACGATTGATAAAGTAAAACAACATTGAAATTTATAAAAAAGTAATCATAGAATTGCAAGGATTTGCTTTTAAAGATAGATTGATATTTTGTCACTAAATAATTGTTAATTTAAATTAATATTTAAAATGGTTTGAAGAGATGATCAACGTTCTTTATATCTAGAATAACCATAGAATAATCATGTGGTATGATATTTTCCAACACTAATTCACTAAAATGAGATACATTTGGGAATGAATGGGAATTTAGATAAGATTGTCACGGTAAGATGATAAAAGTCCTTAAATTTATTATTATATAATTCCTTTTTATTGAATGTTGTTTTTGATGAAAGATGATATTAAATTGATGAACATCTCACAGATTTAATGGTAAATCATATATAAAAATGAAAAAAACGTATTAAAACATCGATAATTGTTTACTACAAAATCATTATAAATTTTGCTCTAAGTAACTTGTATTTGGTTGCTTTAATTTTTTTTTCTAAAAGTTAAAAATTATATATTTATTTTTATCATGAACTTTTCAAGTTAATAAAGTTAAAGGAGATAAGTATACAAAAATATAGGTTATAAAAATTAAAATTTTAAGCAGTGAGTGTAGTAGATCTACTGCTACGACACCCGATGGGTAAGGGTTGTAAGGAAGAAGGAGTGTAGTAGATCTAGGGTTGGCTATATGCTTTCCCTTGGGGATATATATAGGTTAAATAAGATAGCATGAGAACACTTGGCTTGAGTTATTGGCATGGTTCTTAACTGGTTTGTAGCCCCTAATTTGGAACAAAAGTGCAACCGTCTGTCTCATTCTCTGGTTGTGTGCAACCATGTTTTTGCCTAAAATTTTCATTGCTAGCTACTTGTATTGTGAAAGGAGTTATGTGTAATAGAAGGGCATGACCTGTATTCGTGTCCGGTTAACATTTAGAGGGATGTTGATTGAGTTCCTGCAAGTTGGTGGATTAATGGTTAGGTATCTATAGGCTCCTGTGGTGATGGTCATGAGTCTCGATAACAGTGATGGAATAACAGTCAGATCGGCGTAGTACCATGAGCCTATCATTTTAGTGGTTAGAAGGTGTCATGATGTATCATGAACCAGTGGTGGTATGATTGTTATGGATGGGACCCGGTAGTCGTTTGAATGAGACCCTTAGGTCTCGGAGCATTAATCCTATTTGCATGCTTGGGTTTTAGTGCATTGTTGGGAGATGGGAGACTTAGTGACCAGTTGGTTAAGGATAGTAGAAGTGTGTTTTGGTATATGTATTAGTTATGCATCAGAAGTTTATTGTTGAATGTTTTCAATCGGGAACCTTGTTTTCTTAAGGATGGTTTCTTACGGGTTTGGTTACCAATGTCGGGTATTGGTTATGAAATCTCGAGTCATGAGGTTCATTGTAAATGTATCGAGTGATTTATTAGGTGCATGTACACCCGAGTTGATAAGAGATTCGGATGCAACATGAAATTCATGGATGAACCATCATTATGTTCGTGGCAGCAATAGCTTGGTAATGACTTGTCAAGAAGTCAAGCATATATTTAAGGTTTTTGGGCACAACTTCCGCATTTGAGATTTGTGGAAATTCACGATCGGGATGTTTTAAGTATTCTCTTGACATGAATTGCACGTATTCCTGGTCAGGGAACTAGGGGTGGGTATGATGAATGGATGATCATCAGTCTCAGGGTACAGTTTTCTAAAGTTAAAACTGATGAGTTCCCAGTTTCGGGAAGTGTATTGATGGAGTTGGTTTGTGGTTGTAGTTTTGAGAGTCTCTGATTTGAGCGGTTTTCATTGTAAGTTGGGTCTTACAGGTTAGTTGTGAGGAATGTCTTTGTCAAGTCGCATATTTCTTGCTTATGATGTCATCCGGAGTTTTTGAAATTATGGTGTTCCCAACCTTTTGGATCTCTCAAAGGTTTGGGATGTGCGGTCGGATTTAGAATCCATAAGTTATTGGTTACTATTCGGGATGTGAGAACTACGACAACTTGTATAAGAGGAATGAGCAATCTTGGTTACTGGAACATGGGTTTTACAACTCTCCCCCACTTAAGAAGAAAAAAAAGTTTATCTTGGTGCAAGGAAGCAAGGAGCAAGCTTAGATCCAACATCTTCTTCACATTTCTAAATTATTGGAGTTATAAAGTTCGTATCTTGACATTTGTGTTTCTTGTTTGATGTTTGAGCCCACTTTTTGATGTTTTTGTCCCATTCTTGGGTACTCTTGGAGTTTGAGGAACTCCAGAGATTGATATCGTTTTCTCATGGTCATGAACTTCTAAGTTAGTGATAAAAAGGTCTTTGCTTAAGTGTTCTTGATCCTATGTTTGAGTTTTGGTTATATTAAGTACTTATTGGACTTAGAGCTCATGATTTTACCTTTGCATGAGGTCCTAATGGATAAAGTTGGAAGCTTTATCCATTACGTCATTAATAAAAAGTACATCTAAAGTTTTGGATTTAGATCTGTAAGGATTCAGTGCCTAGTGAAGAAATGGCACTTCAGACAGTTCCCACAGCGTGGCGAAGGTGACCACAGCATGGCGGGGTTTGAAACCTCGACTGTTTTGTTTTGGCATAGCCATGACGTGGCCAATGAAGGCCTCCAAGAGGAAATATTCTGCATGTTGATTGTTTGACTTTGACCATTAACCATTGACTTTCTAACTAATTTGACTTTTGGTCAAACTTGAGTATAATTGAGACTCGAGGGTGAAATAGACCCGGTACAACCTTGTGTTGACATATGAGTTGGAATAGACTCGAGGTGAAATAGACCTAGTACAACCTTAGGCTGACATATAAGTTGAAATAGACTCAAGGGTGAAATAAACACAGTGGTGAAATAGACCCGGCACAACCTTGAGCTGGCATATATGTATGGTATGCAATATTTTGGGGAACTCACTAATCTTGGTGCTTTTGGTTTTGTTGTTAATTTTTTTTGGTACTTCCAGTTTTAAAAAGAAAAGCTCGGCTTGATCGCACTACATCCCCTGAAGATTTATTACGTAATGATTATTTATGATTTTACTTAGATGCTTTGAGAATACTTTTACTCTAATTGTCTTTTGAGATAATGTATGAATGGTTTTTACTTATTTAAAATAAAAGTTTTCCTCGGTATTTTTGGGACTTTACCTGGAGATACTCCTCCAAATTCTCCAGTTGATTATACTCCTCCACCTCAACCTCCTCTACCACATATTCCCCTCGTTGCACTCCTCCTGGTTTACCTCCCAAATTTGATGCTACCAAAAAAGGGAGAGAATAATAAAGAGATTCATGATCAACAAATGCAAATAGTGGTGATTGCATCAACTCCGTCTCAATCTGAGATGTTTGAAGCTGGAAGGGTTGAAGTTGCCCTTCATAAGGAAATTATTTTTAGTGACATTCTGGACGTTAATGCAACAATTGATGACTAGCCTATCCCAAATGATGGTGATCAATCAGAAACTGATGACTATTAAGAGTTTCTTGATCTGGGATTGATGCCACAGGCTAATGTTCATGATGTTCCTTTGAATGTTGTTTACCCTGATTCATACTTTGAGGGGGAGATTTCTCAAGGAACTAATAGTGACATTGAGTCTGATAATGATCAACTCAATCCTCGAAGGAGTAAGGCTACCTTCTCACTGGGAGCTCATGACGCTAAAGTTGGAAGTTCTTCTACTGCTGGTGATCCTTCAGCACCTCCTCCTTCCAAGAAAATCAAGCTTATTTTTTTATCTAAATGTTTTAGTTGAAGTATGGGGTATAATTGTTTCTGAAGTAAGAGAAATCATGATAGAAAATAATGTTGCTATTCGAGAAAGAAAAGAATCTAGAAAATGAGAACGTTTGTCTGCAAAACTTTCTAAACATCTTGCTTCAGTTGATGAAAGTGTTGATGTACAAATCACTAATGATCAAGTCAAGAAAATTTAGCTCTTGAAATAGATGGAATTAGTTAATTATTGATCAAAATTAGTCTAGACTTAATTCGAGATTAATTGGAATTAATTAAAGATGTAAGGGGCGAATTGTAATTGTTTAATACTTGAACAAAAGATGAAATTATAGAACCATCCATGGTATGGACGATTTTGGAGGCTTTCTAAGGGTTTCTAGAAGGCTTCTGGTTGTTGATAAGGAAATGATTTTATTTGAGATTAAATATATTATTTAATTATTTAAATATGGATTTCTATGCTAGTGAACTAAACTATAAATAGGATCCTTTAGCCTTGAATTTCATTCATAACATTACTGTGACAACCTGAAATTCTATTCTGTACAACAATATCACTTCAATAGAAGTCAGAACAGTTGTAGTAAATTTTCAGGCTTTTTTAGTATAAGTTTGAGAAATTCAAGGGTTTACACTTAAAGAGATATCAAGAGAGAGGATGCACTAGGGTTTTGTGCAACTCTGTTATTTCAGAACTCTATGATATTAGAGTTCATTTCTTGAATAAAAATATTTTCTGCCAAAAATCCCAGGACTATATATATGATTCTTGACCAAATTATTTCATTAATTACATTTCCAACTAGAGAAAAGCCATTTCTCTCTCACGGATCTTCGGGTTTTCATCCCAAATCGTGAGTACCTTTCCCTAGTTGTATTATATAGCTTATTAAGTGCTTAATAACATAGAAATCATAACAAAACCACAAGATTTGAGAGTTTACCGCCCAAGAACACCTTGGGGAGTAAACTCTTTTATAAGGGTTAAATGATGCCTAGTCCTTTCCCCATGATATGTAACCACCTTAGGCTTGTATTCTAGTGTTTTTAAGACTAGAAAACATCCAAAAACACCAAGATTTAGGTGTTCACGGCCCAGGAAGTTCTTGGACCGTGAACTCCAAACTCAAAGGCCAAAGAGTGCCTTAATCACTCCTAAAGCCTTGGACAATAGCCTTGACTTACTTCTAGTGAATTAAGGGACTTTAAATCATCAAATGCCCACCCCATGAGAGATTACAGCCGTAATCTCTAAGGGAAATGGTCTTTGGGCCGTGAACATCAAGGAAGGGTACCAAAGTGTGCCTAAGGCCTTCATTAGCCTCAGATAAATGTCTAGAACCTATACTACATGAGCATCGGAATTGAAAGCATAAAAACACCCCTCTTCATATGAGTTTACGACAGTAAACTCAAAGGAAATTGGCCTTGGGGCCGTAAACTCCTCAAAGGAGTGTATAAGTGCCCATAACCCTTCCAAGAATTAATCCACCAAGTGGGAATGCTTCTAGGGATCATTTAGAACTTCAAAACACCAAAGGACATTAAAATTAGGAGTTCACGGCCGTAAACTCAAGGGTTTACGGCCATAAACTCCTTGTGTGGGGTTTATTGGAGAGTAAACTCATGTATGTGGTCCCTTGGAACATGAAACTCGCTAGCCTTGTCCCACAACAACTTAGATGCAATCCTTAGGGATTATAACACTTATATAAAGTGTTTATTATGTTCTAGGATGTCTTAACATTATCAATTAGTAGTTTAAGACTAATTGGATTCATATATGTGGTATTATATGTTAACTAGGATTATAAAGTGTGTTCAAGACTTCACTTGTCACCTAGCGATCCTACATTTCAGTTCATCCGTACCACTCACTACAGGTGAGTTCATACCCCTTAACCAATGATTTAAATTTTTTTAAATGCTTTATGTGGGGGGGGGGGGGGAATACAAGATAAATACTTATAGTTATTACTATTGGATTAATGTTTAAGTCCATAACTATAATTGGTAAGACTTGACCCGACCCGGCATGGTCCATTTGGGTTGCATGACATCATGCACTTGGATAGACTATAATGAGAGAAATAAGACACTTATGGTTATTAATATATTATAAGTTCTAGTATATTAATAATAAGAATAATAAGATTATTTAATTAGTATTGATCAAGAATTAATCTAGGATTAATTAAGTGATCAAAAAAAGTCTAATTAAATATATGGGTTGATTGTGTAAATCATCCATACTTGTATAGTGGGCTAATGCTCCATGGATTATCTAGTTGGTCTAAAACCCATATGATGCTCCATGGATGCTCCATGGTGTATTTGAACCCATGGATCCAAGGAAATGGAAAGTCATGACAATTAGGGTTTGCCCTAATTGTAACACTATATAAAGATATTATTCTTGACAAAATCGGCACTAGTATTATTCTAGAGAGGGCTAGCCGATTTTCATGAAGTGTAGAATTCTCTAAAGTTATTCCAAGTGTATTTGGTGTTGTGTGAACCATTTGAGGTGTCACACTTGGGGCACTAGGCACTCAGGCTTCATGAAGACATTCTACATCAAAGAGGTATGTATTTTATCTTGTTATATTCAAAGTTTTGTATGCTAGATTAGGATAATACCTTGGATGTTCATATTTGCATGTATAATAGAGAAAACATAGATCCAAGGTATTTAGGGTTGCATGTACACTTAGGAGTGTTAGAATGCTCATAACCCAACAGTGGTATCAGAGCCTAGGCTTGTTTTCTTGTTATACTTGCAAATGGGGCTGAAAAATCGAGTTTTGATGCTGTCTGCCCAGCAAACTCGACGAGTCCAAGGCAAAAAGCATCCAACTCGCCGAGTTGGTTAGTGCACTCGATGAGTTGGACCCCCAGACAGCATAAACTCAACTTTCTTGGCTGGAATTGGACTAGGAACATTACCCTAAGAGGTTTTTGAACTTATAAACTTGTTTTTAATGTGGTAATGTTCATGCTAATCCAATTTCAAAGATAATTGTCAATAGAATCATGTTTTGTATTAGTTTAAGGGTTAGACTAATTACATGAAAAAGTTTGATTTGAATTATCTTGTTCTTATGAGTTGCTTAGATTAATAGAAAAGTTGAGTGAAAAAGTTGTTTTCAATCCAAATTAATCTAAGAGTTGATTCTAAAATGTGTTTTTGTAACTTGTCCTCAAGTTATATGAAAAGTCACATTTAAGTTTCATAAAACTCATAAAAGTTGGCAAAGGTTACAAAATGAAGAGTCTAGTTCTAATTAATTGGAGTTATGACTCCATAATTTGTCCTCAAGTTATGGAGCGCCAAGAGTCTTTTCATTAAATAAAAAATAATAAAAAAATGTAACCTTAATTAATTCCATAAGTTATAAAATAAAGAAAAGTTAATTCTTTTATTAGTTTAAAGTCTTCCGTAACTTGTCCTCAAGTTATGGAACTTGAAGAGTTTTTGGATTAAAACTACTTTAAACACATAAGTTATGGAATTAATTAGTTTTGAATAGTTTCAAAACTTGCCCTCAAGTTTTGGAATTTGTAAAGTTTTCTCTTATGAATACTTTAATTCCAAGTTAGCCCTTAGAATTTTAAAAGTTAAAATTCAACCCTTATACTTTATAATATTATAAGTTAATAATATATATATATATATATATATATATATATATATATATATATATATATATATGTATAAGAGTAAAGTCAGTCTTACCGCTAGTACGCCTCATTCACGAAGCCAGTCTATAAGGTGGGTATAAGGTTGTTGCCTATAAAATGGCAACTAAATGGGTGTCCACTCTCACCCACCGCTTGCTTGACTGGTGGAGGGTCGTTAGCCGAACGGGTTTGACAGGACTATAATTCTCCCTTCATTAAAAGTATTAATGATAAATACTAAGTAACTAAACTCTTAATAATTCCCAATCTTAGTTACTTAGGAAAATGTGAATAAGGTGCTAATCCATGAAATTACACTTTACACTTTGTCTAAGTCGTTAGTGGAGCGTGTGTGGTTAACCGGCACACTAACTTGGACTTAACAAGGTAGGTAAAGGGTGACTTAATATTTATCATAGTATCGATGGAGCGTGTGTGGTTAACCGACACATCGATTGAGGGGTAATTTATAAGGGTACCAAGTAATTTGCATGGTTACTTCACACCTTGTTTTGTGATCCTCGACATCCCAGTCACAAAACCTGAAGGGCACACTCGAGATTGAAACATGCCATTGAACAGTTCAATGAATCTCAAAAAATCTAGGATTTTCAAATCCAATTAAAACCTAATAATACATTTCGTTTATTTTTGTGGAAATTGGTGAATCGTCATTCACCTACCTTCAAATATTTTATAGCTTGGATTACGGCATCCCTCTTCTAAGTTATAAAATAGTTTGTTGGGTCCTAGCCTTAATATTTCATATTGGGTGTCATATTAAGGACTTTAAGATCAACTATCTTGAATATCTCCCAAAACATGTCTGGTTTAGACATTTATGATCTTCCAAATCTCTTGAAACAAGCTTTCCTAAATGAAGATGATGTTCCAATGGAAATCATACTTCTTTCACCTCCTCCAATTATTCTCCCTACCCCACAAGTTCTTGAAAAGTTTAAGGTCACTCGAGCCCTATTGGCAAGTAAAGGTCTAGGTGTGGTCACATCTTGGAGATGTAGTCACATATTGACAAGCCGGGAGAGTTGGGTGTCAAAGTCTTGAGAAAGTTGGTGGTTCAATGACTTTCTAAGTCACATAGTGAGTTCTTTTGGAACACCTATGAAACAGACTATGACAAGACCCTTAATGATCTTATCTATTTGTTAAGATCAACTTCCTCAAAACTTGATGGACATTGACAATAGTGACACAGGAAATCCAGAAAAGCATTCTCTTCCCAAGGAAAGGGATTGACCATAGTCAACTAGGTTGACCGAATGGTAAAGAGAAAAGGCTAAGTCTGTAATAGTCCTGTGTACCATTATCAAAGTG